TAATATTTAAAACTATGATATTCTTATAAATTAAAAATAAGTTTAAAATGATCATTTTTAGTCTCTCAAATTTTAATATATGTATATTTTTTGTCCATTCACTTTAAATTAAGGGACTAAAAATGTGTATATTTAGATAAATTTAACAAAATAATTGATAAAAAGACAAAAAAAAAAAATGAAAAATGAACTAAAAAAGTACATAAAAAAGTTAAAGGATAAAAATTATAATAACATTAAAGTTGAGGATCAAAAATGAAATTTACCCTTTTAAATTTGAATTGAGTTATACAGACACAGTTGCAGGTTATGAAAAGCCCTTAGCCCAAAACGACGTCGTTTTGGGCTAGGGGAATCCTTTTTTTTTTTTTTATAATTTGCAGTGTATATCGGCCGAAATTTCGGTGTACCGGCCGGTACATCGAAATTTCGACCGGTACACCGGATTTTGACCGAAACGCCTTGAATTTGATGGAAACGAAAACTGACGTTGTACCGTTTCGGTCAAATACCAAAACCGGTACGTATTGATGGTACCGACCAGTACGGTACGATATTAACTTCATTGCCCCCCCCCCCCAAGTATCCTATGCTCCACGTAGCTTTCTAATGTCTTCCTCTTGATATGTGTGTTTATAGGGACCAGTTTGCCTATGGTTTGCATTTTCCTTTGCATCCTTTTATTTCTAAAATCTATGATGAGTTCTCCACTAGCTTACCTTAATTAGCTTCTCGAGCAGTCGTGTATATTATTGCTTTCCTTGTGAGGTGTTTTCTGCTTAACATCACTCCTACTCAAGAGTTGTTTTGCTTCTTTTTTCACTTGAAAACTATTGAGCCTACTAATAGTTGGTATTACTTTTCTCATAGGGTATTGGAATTTTAGGGTGTTGATGATAAGAAACACCATCGGGGTAATATAGTTTTTATTGACCCCTTTCCTAGTTATGACTCAAATAATTAGCATAATAAAATTTTCTTCTTAAGTGCCCTTAAGGATGTTGAGTTCCATCTATTTGGCAAGTATCGCAGACCACTATTGCTGAGGTTTTACTTTCTGTCGATGACTATAAGGTCGTTTATAATTTGTTATTGAGCCTTTTGTGAGTATTGCAAAGTTAATTGTCTAGGAAAATTTCATTAGAGCAGGCATCTAGGTTCCTGGTTCTTGTGATTCTGATTTCCTTGTTCCTTTGGTTTCCTTTGGTTTTGAGGCTTCTTTGAAACTTGAGCGAATTTTGAAAAGGAAAGCTATTGAAGGGAGCTCTGTTGTTGCCTCTAGGTCTTTGCCTAATCTCGCTAGTATTTTTGCTTTCTCTCCTTATTCTTTGTTTATGCTCTTCTGCTTTTTATTGGCAATTTTTATTTGTGCAGGTGGCATGAGCACCTTGCTACTTTAAGTCAATTTGCTAAGATTGAGAAGGCTACAAGTAAGTCTAAAGGATATGTTCCTCAGGAGATGTGCTGTAGTTGTGAGGACGTCTAAGAGATTGAAAGGTGCCTTTTTTACTAAAGTTGTTTCTACAGATAGTCCTGCTAAGAGTAAGACAGAGGGACGCGTGATTGACGATGACAGGGAGACTCCTCTTCTTGTTGTTTTTCTTGTTGATGAATTGTAAAGTTTTTCTTGTAAGGGGAGTCTTGATTTATTCAATAATGGACTTTGTTGTTGGGAAGAGTGTCATGCCCCAAAACTAAGAGCAAAATAGATGTCGTATGAGAAGATCTCACAAATGCACAAGGCTCGGAACCTATTTAATTCATATCTGGCAATCCACTAATTAAGATCCAACTCTAGAAATAAAATCTAGCTTTTATAATTCAAGCTTTATTATGCCAAGGGTGCATGAAAAACTCTATGTCCAAAAATAATTTGACTAGTGGTCTAACTCTAAAATAATTTAAATCCAAAATACAAGTACCTAGCCTTCTAGCTCGTCACTCCCCTTGGTTTCTCGCGTCTTAGGTCATGCTATCTGAAATGATGGGCAAGGAAAAACTATTTGAGATAACTTAGTAAAAATATGGGTAGCCCTTATTTCAAAGTTAAAGCATACCAAATAAATAATTTAAAACATAAACTACAGGAAAAATTTTATAAACCATTATTGCAAAGTAAAACTCAATAGTGGTCTCCTCAATTAGTCATGGTCAGTGTTTAACAAACTCCCATTGGCAGGTGTCAGGAATAACTAGTATACCATCCCATTGGCAGGGTTAACAAGAATAAACCAGTTTCCAGGAATACATGTCGACATGTTTTAGCGTTTATAACTCTCACTGGCAGGCTTCAGGAATCACGATCATATTAGAGACAAAACCATGCAGGAGTTAACAAGAAAATTCATAATTTACAAGAAAATTCATAATTTACAAATATGCAGGAATTAACAAGAAAGTCATAGCTTACAACAACTTTTCAAATTTTCAAAACAACCAAGTAAACTCCATGTAGGCATGCTCAACTCAATAAACATATTAACAACTTCATTTTAAATCAATCATACTCATGTGCTAATAAAAATTTAGTTTAGGTCTTGTCACCATCTCAAAATCAGTTCAAAACATGCTATTAAAACCTTTACCGTAAAATCCAAGGGCAATTACCATAGTTTTACTTACCTCGCTTTATAAGTACACAACAAGAAAGAGTTCAAGATCTCAAAGTGGTGGAGGGGATTTAGAACCTATATCATATCAAATGAATACTTAAAATAAACTTAAAACAGCTCCAAATGTCACACTAAACAATAGGTATTTCAAACAGATTTTCTAGGACAAATAAAATGGAAAAAATGTGAGAAATTGAGCTCAAAACCATCCTAGACACCAGCAGAAATATTAGGCAGCAAAGTGGGGGTTTCTACCATTTAAAGCAATCCCAAAATGCTTGGAAAAAGCCTTGAACAACAGGGATTTTCTAGGCAAAAGATAGCAATAAACAGTGTAGATTACAAGCCAAAACTAGGTTGAAACGAACAACATTTAGCAAAAAGCAGTAGCAAAAAGGGCAACCAAAATAAAGCAATGACAAGGGGTTTTAGAGTAGGAAAACAACAGTTAAAAGTCTACTAAATCCATGATTCGATATGGCAACAATAATGTGAGAATTGAGTAGAAAACAGAACAAAATTTTGGGAAAGTTCTGGTCAAAATTTAAATTGAAAGTTTCAATAGAATTCGTGCCTAGGAATTGACCGATTTGGGTTGAATGGTCAACAGAAAAATTGTAGCCCTATGTCTTAGAATTCTATAGGATTAAAAATCACCTTAATCCAACATTTACAAAGAAAGTTGTGGCCAAAATACTAACTTAGGGTCAAGTTGCCAGTTTTATCCACTTTTGGAAACAAAAATTGCAGCAGAGTTTTCACCATGAAAACAGCTTAACTGGGTTAAATGTCCAATAGAAAAAGTGTAGAGCTATCTCTTAACTCTCTACAAAATCAAGAATGAACTCAATCTAATATCTACAAAAAGACTTATGGGCAAAAAACTACTGTAAGGTCATATCATCAGAATTTCTATCAAAAACTACTGCAAGGTCATATCTAGTGGCACTAGGGCAAAACTAAGAAGGAAAACTATAGAAAAATCCCAAAATTGAAAACCCTAAAGGATTAGAGTTAACCCAATTCAAATTAAGGATGAAAAGATAAGCAATAGGGATAATTTCTTACTAGAAAGTTACAGAAGGAGCAGTCACTAGACATTCAAATCACAAACAAGGAAAAAAGAATAGAAAGTAGTGATCTTGATGAGGAAAAGCAACATCAACAAAGATTAAGAGGTTGATGGCTTCAAGGTTTTGAATTTAGGATGAAAGAGGAGAGGAAAACCAAAAAAAGAAGAAGAAGAAAACCCCAAGAAGGAAATTAGGTTTTCTTTCCCCTTTAATCTGTTCGTGCTCCCCCTTCTCTTTTTTTTTTTTTTTTGCTACTAACATCTCCCATGATTAAAGAGTTAGACAAATTGGTCCCCTACTAAAATCCCTTTTTATATTAGTCATCTCATACCTAATTTAATTAATTAATTAATTATTCCACATGAGTGCTAAAAATTTGGGGTATTACAAAGAGCTTTTCTAAACCCTTGATCAGGTTGCCTTTGAAGGATGTTGTTCGGCCTAGTATGTAGTTCTTTGCTGCTTTTGTCCCCATTCACTTTCCCTAACTCACATATGTACTTATTTTCTCATATACGTTATGACATTGTTATTGATGGTCCTTCCATTATTGGGCATAGTTTTATTGCTCATGAATCTTCTAAGTCTATGTTTCTTGTCGACAACATGAAGTTACTTTTGGATTTTCCTTTAGAAGCTCTTCATGATATGGTCATTCATAATTCTGCTAGCATATGAGTTTCCTTTCCTTTCATTGTTTTTAAGCATTTCTACTTCTCACTGCTTTCCTTGACAGCCTTCTTTACTTCTTGATTCAAGTTTATACTATATTATAGAATATGAAGAGTATTATCCTAGAAAAAGAATATTTATCTCATCGTGTTGATTCTAATTTAGTTGAGATACAAGAAAAAAAGCAAGGATCTAATAAACCTATGTTGTTAGTTAAATTCTGAAAAACTTAGTGTAGAAAATAAAGTAGCTTTGGGGTCCAATTCCATCGAAGTTTAGAAATTGAAAAAGGAGTTAACTATGCTTCAAGAATGTTATAATTTATTGAAAAAAGAAAAAGAACTTATCTTTTCTTTTGCTTATGTTGAAAATACATCTTTGGAATCCTTCAATTAAGCTCTCCAACAATGGTTGGATGAATTGTTCTTAAAAAATTCTGCTTTGGAAAGTTCTGTTTCTGACTTGAGGGCATAGGTTTCCTCTTTGCAGGCTTTAGCTTCCTTTATTATCCAAGTTTTCAAAGAGTCTTCTAAGCATAGAGCATTTACTCTTTCTAGCAACTTCGTTATTTTAACCTTGCTATTAAGCTAATCAAGATGTTGTTTCCTCGTTAGGGGATGATCATGCCTTATCATCTTGTTAAGCTATAGATATTGATGTTGTCGCATTAATTCATGCCAATCCAGAATTGAAGAAAGTTTATGATCAAGGTCCTACATATGTTCCTCTGGATGGTTCTTCGGTTGAAGTAAACGAAGGATTGAGCAACTCTTGGGATGTAGAGGATTTTACCACAACTGTCCATAATAGGGGTAGTTCTATTGATGTGAAGGTTTCTCAAGGTGACTCTTCTTCTTTACATTCTTAGTGAACTTCTTTTTTATTCGTAAAAAACATTTGAAGAATATTTGGATTATGTTATTTCTATGCTTCTTTATCTATTATGGATGTATTTATTTTTGTTATATTTAGATCTTCTAATTCCTATATTCTACATTCTTTTTCATACTCTAAAGTGTGTTAGTTTTACATTTTAAGACGACATTTCTTGTAGAACATTTGTTCAATTTTTTACTTGAGTTTTGGTCATGTCTAGCATTGTGACTTTTCACAAAAACTATACTAGAAATATGTTTCTGGTTAGCTTGTTGATATTCTGAAGCCAAGCATTAGATTATAGTTTTTGTGCAACTTCTTATCAATTTTATGGGCCTTTATAGTTTCTTATGGTGAAGGTATCTTCATTTGTCAATGAGGATCCATATTTTAATGATTGGTTAGCATATGCCATGTCCTTCATTTTCTTGTACAAAAGATAGGCCAAGACACAACTTTACACTCCAATCGACTACTACAGGTTTATGTTGCAAAGTCTCTCCTATGCTTGAGAATTGCATTAACTTTCGTAGCCTTGCTTGTGTAGTCTTTGCCTAGGTATTTATATATACCCTAACTTGCTTGCGGCTTTTAGTTTGCTTAAGCATGTTTTAGTTAATTTATCTGGATAACGTAGCTTCAAGAAAAGTTTTGTAGCTTCACATGTTTATATTCTTTTCACCATGTTTGGTTTTTGGAGCTTTAAATAATTCATTAGTTAGCTTGAAGCCTGTGTTTCATTCGGGAGTGGTCTTTGATATATAAATATTTGCTAAAATTGGCATTTTATTAAGATAAAAGATGGATAACATTCTTACAAGAGTGTTGTTTATTTATTTATTGATAATATTTCTTGAGATGCATAGCATTCTAGGTCCATGGGATTATAGCCCTATTGGGACAAACCAACTTAAAAGCTCCATTTCCTAAATCTTCCTTTATGAGTTATACTCCTTCCCAATTTGGGTGCAACCCTTCCCAAGAGTTTCTTCTTGAAACCTCTGTTTTTCTCAGTACCTAATCGCCTCAACATAGGTTTTAGCTTTTACCTTGCAATTATAGTATTTTTCTGCTTTGATATGATAACTTGCCATCCATACTTATGATAAATCTATAATTTCTTCTAATAAGTCCAGGTTGGCCTTTAAGGCTTCATCATTTTTGTGCTCATCATAGTGGCTTGTTCTATAGGTTAAAACTTTGGTTTTTACAAGAATCACAGCTTCTATTCCATATGTCAAATTTAATGAAGTTTCACCTGTGGGCATGCGATGTGTAGTTTTGTAGGCCTATAATGTGTATGGTAATTTTTCTGTCCATGTGCCTATTACCTTTCCTACCTTTTTCTTTAGGCTATCTAATATGGTTCTATTTGCAGCTTATGCTCATCCATTTAACTCCGAGTATGTTACTGAAGCAAACCTTTACCCAATTTGTTC